GGGATTGTGCAGCAGCGAGGGAGGCGGTGTCCCTGCCTGAAGTTCTTTGCACACTTAGTTTGCTTCAGAACAGTAAGATCCACGTTATGCGGCAAAGTGATCTCCAATCGCTGGTCAGTTCCAGCCGCTGTGTCTCCTTCATGCAAAAATCTGAGCGTTATGGTTGAGTAGAATTATTACTTAAAAAAATAAGTTGAGGTTTTAACTTTCCCTCAAAATTCCAAGGTATTACATGTTGGGAGGGATCTGCCTTAATGCAGTATTCTCCCTATAGAGATCAATGAATAAGGATTCATTCAGCAAGTATTTACTGGACCTCTTTGTTTTCAGCCCCTGCACCCAGTTGCATCATTTACTCTCCCAGCATCCCTTTAGGGTCTTTTGGGACAAGATTTACCCAGATTATAATTAAGAAATGAGGCATCATGAACTTCAAGTTAAAGAGCTTCATAACTCAATCGACAGAGAAAATTAAGGTGAATATTTTCCTTCAGGAAAGTTGTTAAGCATCTCAAAGTATATTTACTAATATCTGAGTAATTTCTGTGACAAATCTGAATAAAGCTATGCTTCCCTGACTCATTTTTCCCATCACAGCAAAATCATTTAACCTACCTGTTTCAACAGTAGTCAATTTTAAAAAAAATAGCTTGCTCTAATTAATCTATGGGGGAAAAAATGAACCACTTTGTCACTGAACCACTTAAATACTTAATATGGGCAAATAATAATTACCATTGAGGGCCAGGTACTTTATTAACTCAGTTAACCTTTACAAACTGTTTTTTTCCATTTTTCAGAGGTGGAAGCTGAAGTCCAAAGTCACTGTCCAGACTCTGGCCATTCTGTGTCTTTATTCGTTCCACTCTACTTCCCTTAACTTATTCAAAGTGAAGATGAGTGTTCCCAGCTTCTGCCATGACAGGCTTACAAATCACCTTTAAAACATACTGGTTAGAGATTCTCTGTGACTCACTTGACCCACAAATGAGTAGTCATTTATTTCTTAGGCTCCATTATTCTTGCAAACCATTAAATTGGGCGTTTAGCGTGGTAGATATTGAATCATTTACAGTACTTCAAATGAAGGGTCAGTCTTTTCTTCTAGAAAAGCAGTCTTTGTTCCTAACTTGTAGTACACTTTGAGAGCCTTGCTGAGTCACACGAAGAAAATGTTCAGATACCAGGCAACTCCTCTCTGGTTTTGAAGTTTTACAATCTGGTACGTATTTACAGCCTTGAGGGTATTGGTTTGAGCAAGGTCAGTCTCTACTTTTCTCCATCTCTGCACCCACTATCAGATGGCCTCCTACTTGGTCTGCCTCTTTCCATTGTTACCATCTCCAGTTTATTATGCCTCAGCAGCTGGAGTGGTCCCCAAGAACACAGATGTTTATCATGTGGCCTTCAGTACTCCCCCCACCCTGAACCTCCCCTTTGCTCTTAGGATCAAATCCACAGCCCTCATCATGGCCTTCAGGGGTCTACTGACCTCTCTGGCCTCACCGTGCTCCATCTTTCTCTAAGTTCACTGTTGTGTCTTTAGCATGGGGCTGGGAACACTGTAGGTAGTCAGTAAATGCTTGTTGAATGATTGAATTGGTATTTTGGTGTCTGAGTTGGAGGAAAGCAGTATACATTTTTTCTGGTAAAGTACCCTCATACAGCAGAACTGGGTTCAGATCCCAGCTTCTTCACTATTTCAGTCTCGTAACCCTTAGGCAAGTGATTTATCTTTGCCAAGCCTTAATTTATACATCTGTGAAATAGGAATAGTACCTTCTCATAAATGGTTGGGAAGATTAAAGTAAATAATGCATTATTATCGGGCCTAACACAGTAAACATTCAAAAGTGTTAGCTATTAGTATCCTTGCGATTGAATTCTATTTCTGTGAGATCCCTGACAGCATTAAGGGTTTTTATGTCTGCTGATGGCTATATGTATTTGTTGTATATATATGAACACCTCATGTACAGAGACAAGAAAGTGTTTTGAAACTTATACTGAATGATTTGTGCTACATTTTCTAGGTACTAGAGCTGCAGAATTGAGAGGGATGAGTGCTAGACTTGTATTTTAATGTATCCCCTGCATTTATGGGCTAAAATAGAGAAAGCTCTAAAGTATGTGTGTATAGTGGAGGTGGGGGGAGTTAAAATAGTAGAGAATTGGACATAACTATCTAAGAAGCTGCTTCCTACTCCCAAACCATGATTCCCATGATAGTTTGGCAACAAACTACAAACCTTCTCTACCCTGCAGAGGTAACAGACACTGTTTCAAATGGCTCAACCTGGGTGTCACAATGTCACTTTAGAATCCTCTGTAACTCTCTGCATAGCCCCTTGGGTATTTAAACAGGCAGAGTGCCCTACCCCACTGGAGTTAGTGGTTGGGTAGGGATGGGGGAGGGCAATTTCCCTAGCCCTCCTCTGAAGGATGCTAAAGCACGAGCTGATTTGGGATGCATTGTCCTGAGCAGTGCCTTGCCATTTAATCCACTGTCTTATCCCTTCTAAGGGGAGGCAGCTACTTAAAGTGACAGCCATTTGTTTATCTGTGGATGTTGGAAGGTGCCCTGGGTGGGGTATGGCATTCATAGTTCTTGGTTGTTATCCGTGAGGATGCTGAGGCCTAGACTGGGGAAGGGACTTGGCTGTGGTCACAAAGCACTTCTGGGGCAGATGCAGGGAGAGATACCCAATCTTTGCCTCCCAGGCCATAATCCAAGCAGCAAGAGCTAGATGCCCCGAGGTGTCTTGTTTGCATCTATGACTTTGCACAGATACAGGGACTCTCTGGCCGTTGGCCCTCAAACCCTAATGGCTACAGCACATTGGTGTAGGGCAGTAAGCTATGTGGAGACACTACAGAGCCTGGAACCCCTGCCTGCCTAGGACATTTTCTCATTGGGGTAAAGGAGACCTGGGTGACTTGCTAAACCCTTCTGCGATACCATTGGCTCCTCCCTATTCATTTCCTCATCTGTAAACCGGAAGGTAGTGGCTGGGAGTGTAGGCTCTGGGGTCTGTTGGCCTGGAAATCTATTTCTAGTTCTGAGAACTTGGCCAAGCTCCTCACTTCTCTCAGCCTTGTTTTCTTTGTCTGTGGAAGAGATAATAATGGTGTCTACCTTCACAGGGCTGTTGTGAGGTCTGAATGAGATAACGTATGCAAGAGAAGCACCCAGTAAACATACCATTATAATTCCTGGCTCTATCTCCCCAGGGTCTGTACCGGTCAAGTGCAGACCGCCTCGGTTTCACACCTGACCCGATCACTTTCTAGTTCTGTGGCCTTGGGCAAGCCCCCTGCACCTCCCTGGAGCCTCAGCATCCTCATCGTGAACGGGTTTGCCCCAGAACCTGGCTGCCAGGGGCTTGCGGGGAGGATTAAATGCCCAGGAAGACGCTCCGTGCGCACCGGCGCACAGAAGGGCTCTCGCCTGTCGCGCTCACCGCGGCTGACTGCGCCTGGCACCGACAGGTCTCCCGAAATATCCGTTGAGCTGCAAGGGAAGGAGCCGGGCTATTATCATGTTTCCCACCCCTTCCTCCCCGAGTGGCTGAGGACGCGCGCGAGGGGGCGCGCCCG